AATTACAGTGAACCGTATGAAACTGCCACTGTTCAGCCATTGTGACCTATGAAAATGGTAGTTTCATTTGGTTCGTTCGACCCATACACTGGCAGCCACTGTTTTACTTTTACCCTAAGAGACCAAGCTGTCCTCTGCCGAGATGTGGATAAAATCCACAAGGCTGAGAGTGTGTTGTTAACGACGCGGCGGCGTAGGTAAAGAGATGGAGAAGGGAAACCGGCGGCTACCGCCAGGCACCCAAGTCAATACTGTTTCGGGGAGGGGGGTGGGGAGGGCTGAAACCTAGAAATAAAACTTGTAAAGCTCACAAGGATAATATCCATCTGAGCAGCAGAAAAACAAGGCGAAAAGGTTACTATGATAACAAAGCCTGGTGTTGCTGGAGTATTTTTATCTATACACATTTGATGTGGAAAGCCCTTTCCACGCCTTGCCTCTGGGCCACGTCCAACCACTAAGGTGGGGACTATTATGATTCCTAATTTCTGCATGCAGGTCAGAGGGACTTCACACACGAACAAAGGAAGGCCTGGAGACGTGCAAGAACTTGTGGGAGGATTTCTGTCGCTCGAGGCCGGATTTCTAGTCTCCAGGTGGTAATTTCCCCTCTAGACCATCTCCCACTGTCTTATCCCTGGTGTCCTTCAAAGGTGGTAAAGTGAATTAGGGGAAAAATAAATAAATAACCCTGCCTCCTAAGTGCTACATTCTCACTAGTGACATGAGCAGCTGAGGTTTCCTTTAAAGGTCATTTCCACCAGCATGTTCATCTCCGTGCCTAATAAGGGGCCACGGACATGGTTAGTAACAGCGCGATATAATTAAGTGTCCTTTCATCCAGGCATTTCAAAGGGCTTCGGCAACGTTAATTACTCCCCAAGCCCTTGTGAAGTGGCACTTGGTTCCATTCTATGAGCATTTAAAGTCAAGCAAAGGCAATGCCACGGGCCCAGGGGTTACACACTTTGAACATACACCTATTAGCGGCCCTCAAGTGTCTGGAGAAAGAGTTGGGGTGTGCAGGGCTCCTGACATGAAACTCTTCCTCTGGAGCTCAGAGCTTGAAAACTGTAAAATGGGGGTGTCTGGGTCTGCTGGCAGGGAGGGAAGTGAGGGGAGGTACTTGGGTGGCTTCTGCCACTGGACAAGTCACCGTGTTCCTCTTCTGCAGAGAGGTAACAGAAATTATCTGAAGTGGCTTAAGTGCCAACAAGTGCACGTACATGGAAGGCTAACCCAGAGCAGGGATCTGATCCCAGACTCAGGGACTCTGTCCCAGACCAAAACAAGGGTTTCCCACCGCGGGGCAGCTTGTGAGAATTGTCTGGTGCTGGCCGTATCAAGAGCAGGCCGCATCAAGTCACTTCTCTCTCTGCTTCCGCTTCCCTGCGTAGACAGGGAAGACCGGCAGTTCTGGGCTGGGGTCCAGCCGCTGCCACTTACTGCTGTGTGACTTCAGTGGAATCACCATACCTCTCTGAGCCTCAGCTGCCCCTCTGAGAAATGGAGTAACTGTAAACGTTCACGGGATTATCACGTGACATGAAATAAGGCACAGGTTGAAAGACCACCCAGAGCATGAAAAATACTGACACAATTCTAGTTTGTTACTATTATTTTTACAATTTTCCTTAGTATTATCATTATTATTAGCAACAGCTCTAAGGACCCTTCTGGCTCCAAGAATTGCTTTTTTATCAGCTATAACTCTGGGAAAGAACAGTTTCCAGAAAAGGAACAGAGGTCACAGAGGCAGGAACCCTTGCTTGATCAGTGGTATCTGAGTGAAACTAGCTCAGATCTCCCATTCTAACACCTGCTTTCCATCTGCCAACAAGAACCTCTATTTAAACATCACAGTGATAAGCCCAGTCATCACTTGCTATTTAAACTGACCTCCCACAATCCTTTGGGCTTGAAGCTAGCAAGAGTTAAGTATAAATTGCGGGTTTTTGGCTTGTTCTGAAGGTTACTCAAGTTCAAATACAAGAGATGCATTAGTCTGGCTAAACCAGGTCCTGCTACCCTACCCTTTCGCCTGGCTTCAGGTCAGCTCCCTGACGCTTACATTCTCCAGCAGGGGAGGCATCAGCTTCCCCAAGACTGTCATTTCAACACTTAATAACTGACATCAGAAAGAGAAGGGACCTTGCAGAGTAGCTGGCACAATGCGGGGAGTGGTGGATAAAAGCAAGGGCCTTGGCAATGCACAGACTCATTTCGAATCCTAGCTTTACTACCTATTGACTGTGTGGCCTTGGGTAAGTTAATTAACCTCTCTGTGCCAGTTTCCTAATATGTGAAATGGGGTTCTAATATACCTACCTTATGGGGCTCTGTGGGGATCAGTACGGTCCCTGCCATATAGTAAACACTAAAACCAATGTTCACTGCCATTATGATCATGACAATTACTATAGTAATTGGAATTGGCTAAGGAAGCATGATAGAGAGGACCTATATTTTCCTTCCAGGAAAACTGCCAAAACTGGAGCTGGAGATGGAAGGATGGGTAGGATTTCTATGGGGGATGGTGCGGGCAGCTTCGGGTTCCTTCATCCGTACATTCGGGTCATCCTCCAAGCACCCCTGTAGGATGGATTTAAAACTGACCTGCAGAATAGCTGCACGACTTTTCCCCAAGTGATACTGATAGAAAGCGAGAAAGCTGGGATTTGAAGCAAGCAAGCTCTGATTCTAAAGGCCATGTTCTACCTTTGTATCAAATTCTGTCCTGAAGGGTAAGGTACTGACAGAATTAGCTCCCCCAACCTCCCTCCTAGACTATAAACCCCTTCCAGGAAGAGATATCTCAATTATTTATACAGGCCCCTCCCCCACACCCCTCGCAGGCATGGATAGCAGATGCTCAGCTGAAATGCCTATTTGCAAAATGGAAGAAACTGAGGCCTGACTCTTCCAGACTGAGACCAAGCCTCCAGGGCCAGGAACCTCAGGCGATGCTGCCTCCTGGGCAGCTGGCCTCCTGGCCTCTCTTTTACAAATTCCCCCCTCCACACCCCTCACCCCCACTCCAACAACCAGGACAGAGCAGGGCTGCCATGAAAGGCCAACGGTTTGCTCCTGACTCAAGCCCAGTGATGGAGTTGGACTTGGGCCTGCTAATGTTTTCCTTGCCCCAAAGACAGACGATCTGGGGTCAGCCTGCCCAGCTGACCCCAGATCGGTATGACCACCTCCCACTGAGAGCCAGCCAGACAGAGAGAGAGAGAGAGACAGACACATAGATAGATAGATAGACAGACAGACAGACAGACACACACACACACAGAGGCCCCCCCCCAATAAAACCTGTTAGCTGTGTGACTCCACCCCCATGCCCACCACAGATTGGACCAGGGTGGCCACCTGACTCAAGCTGGCCAATCAGGTCTTCCCTCTTTCCAGGGTTGGGTGATCGCCCCAGTCGTTCCAACCTCCACCGCCCTTCCTACCTCTGGCTCCAGTAGCTACCCTGTAGTCTCATAATAGTTTTCTCTTTTGCCTCACCGCCTCTGAAATAGGTTTTTATTCCTTGCAACCAAAATAGCCATCACAAAATTGAGGAGGAGGAGGAAGACAACTTCCTCAGGCAGAATTAACTACACCTTTCTCTGCTTCAGGTACCTTCATCTCCTCCTCCTTGTAACAGCAGGCACTCCTGCCTCCTGCATGGGCTAGGTGCTTTTTCACTGATCCACATGACTGGAGGGATGACGGTTGGAGGCAGGTATTCCTACCATCAGTCTACCCATAACAGAAGTTCTGAGGGGCTAAGCCATATGTCCAATGACACCTAGCCAGGAAGGAGCAGAGTAGGGATGCGAACCCAGGCCTTCTTCCTTTTATCCCTCCCTGGAACTTCGTTTGCTCCTAACTTTGCCCATGTGCCTGCCTCCCACCTCAATTTTTTGTTTTCTTTTTAAAGATTTATTTGAGAGAGAGAGTGCAGCGGGGAAGGGCAGGGGGAGAGGGAGAGAGTCTGAAGGGGACTCCGCTGAGTGCAGAGCCCAAGGCAGGGCTGATCTCACAACCCTGAGATCAGAACCTGAGCAGAAACCGGGAGTCAGAAGCTTAACAGACCTACGCAACCCAGGTGCCCCCTCCCACCTCAATTTTTCAGCTTGTTGGTAAAGTCACCATGATTGATTTATCTCTGCTCTGGCATGAAGGTATTTCTGTAATGAGTAATAATGGAATTAATTTGTAATTTTTATGGAAACTTAATAGAAATCTCATCTGGTAGAGTGTTCAGTGTTTTCTGAGATATTGTATTTGTCTGTCTGGCATCCATTCTTCACAGAACCAACGGTCTTAACTGTATATTCTTAGGTTCTGCATGCGTGATGCTCTGGCATTTGTGGCCTCCCTCCCCAGCACCAGACCACCTCTCCCAGGGCTGGCCAGTTCTTAGAGCAAAGGAGCGGCACTGCTGCACTGTTTCCAGCCACCCCAGATTAGAAGCAGCCTCAACAGCCAGCAATAGGGAATCTGTCCAGAAAATTTTGATACGGCAACTCAACAGATTATTGGGCAACCATTCAAAAAGTATGTGTTAAATCACTATTACTCGATGACATGGGGTAATAGCCCACACACAGGCTTAAGTGAAACAACTGAGACACAAAACTTTCTGTACAGTCTGATCCTAAATGTGTAACACCAAAAAAAGACAGGAAGGAAATATCCTGAAATATGAGCAAAGCTTGTCTCCAAGTAATAGAGTAAGTGAATCTTCTAAGCGGGAACGCATCCCTTTAACAATGTTTCTCTACCTTTCCATTTTGATGTCTTTCTCTAACCCCCTATTTTTATGTATTTCCACAAGCATTTATTTTCCCTGGATTACACATTCTCCTACCCATGGGGTGGGAGGCATCTGCCTGTTTCTGCCAGCGACAGGCACACAGACCTTGGACATGTCTGTTAGCCAGGGCTGTACTGTGTTACTTTCTGGTTAGAAAAACACAACATTGCAAAACCACAAAAACTCTTGCCTTGTAGGAGAAGGAAAGCTCGGTGAGCGGGTGGGCGCTGCTTGTGGGTGGCAGCTGGCGCAGCTGCAGGGCCGCACCGTGGGCTCCGTCCATGGTGTCCTACAGCCACATTCCCTGGGCCCAGCCTGGGAGCCGGAGCTGCTGCTGCTCTGTGGGGCCAACCCTGGAGACCATCTTTCCCGGCGGTGTTCACCTCCTCTCACCAGCCATGGGAGGATGGACAGCTTCTCTCTCACCTCCACGCAGAGAAGTGCCAAGTTCTGTCGCTCCTAAGCAGACAGTGTGATTCCTTGTCCTGGTGGTGCTCTAGGGAGGTGGGGAGGAGCATTAAAAATGCATGTACAGTGAGACATAGAGCCCAGCTTTGTTACCCGAGGAGGAAACACTATGGGCACAAAACACAACCTATCATGAGAAGTGAAACCATTAAAAAAACTGTATCAGGGGGCACCTGGGTGGCTCAGTGGCTTAAGCTTCTGCCTTTGGCTCAGGTCATGGTCTCAGGATCCTGGGATCGAGCCCCACATCGGGCTCTCTGCTCGGCGGGGAGCCTGCTTCCCCCTCCCTCTCTGCCTGCCTCTCTGCCTACTTGTGATCTCTCTCTCTGTCAAATAAACAAATAAAAAAATCTTAATAATATATCTTAAAAAAAAAAAAACTGTATCAGGCCTTTGGCTCCCTTAATAAAGATGTGGTTCATCTGCCTCAGAACCTTTTCTCCTGCCCCATAAAAGTCAACTTTTCTCTTCCTCTGCTTCTTTCCTCCCATCACATCCTAATTTAAATCCTCCCTTTTCCATAGGCTCCCCTACACTTAAGCGGTGGGGAATATATCCCACCCATTGGGAAAATATCCCAATGCCACAAAAAAGGAAACATCTGTGTTCTAACTTAGGGAAAAAAATGAGAAGAAAAGCTATCTCCGTGCATGACAGAAGAACTAAGCTACTACCAGTGGTCAGCTGAGCGCAGGTGAGGTAACACTGGTTACCTCAGTGTAGATAACACTCCCCCCTGGGAGAAGATCTGTGTGACCAGATCACCTCAGCTCTGGGAAACTCAGGTGCCTCACTGTAAAGTGGGGGTAATAATGTGGCCTCAAGTAAAATCGGCGATGATAGCAATTTGGACCATTGTTGTAAATTTCATCAGGGGGATATTTTCAGCGCAGGTCAAGTTTTTCTAAACTAAGGAAGAGAGATGAAGCATATGTTCCTAGGGTTCTGGGAGGCATGGCCAGAGCACCTTATACCATGGTGCTAGGTATTTCTTTGAAGTCCTCGTATAGTAAAAAGAAAAAAAAAATCCATACAAATTTGGATTCTACTACAAAGTCTATGGTCTGTTTTTTTTTTTTTTCCCTCTGTGGGGGCTTGAACTTATCACCCTGAGATTAAGACCTGAGCTGAGATTAAGTGTCAGATGGTTAACTGACTGAGCCACCCAGATACCCCTCGATGTTTATTTTAATATAAAAATGTTATAGCTTTTCATCTGTCATATGCTACCTGTTTGCCTTGGCCAAGTCATTTAACTTTCCAGGCAGTTTTCTCTGCTGAAAATACAGATAATAACACTTCTACTCCCCCCCACGATAGGGTTGTTGTGAGAATTTGGTGAAATAATGCAAGTATAATGCATGCACAGCAAATAGCCAAAGGATTGGCGGCTGTTATTAGTATTAATTTTATTCCTACCAGCTTAATTATTGAATTGACCCGCAGATCTTCCTTTCTTTCATGTAACCAGGCAACAAATATTTATACAGGGCTTCCTATGTGCCAAACAGATACAGCCTCTGCTATGCCCCCACGGCTTCAGAAAGTTGCCTTCTGTGTCTTGCAACTTCCAGTTCCTTCTGTTATCTAGCTCTACCCCCAGGAATGCCGGTTCCTGGTGTGAACAGCACAGTCATATGTCACAGGGCTAACACTGTGTCCAGCATCTAGGAGACACTGGATGCAGGGCTTAGCACTGGGGCAGCCACAAAGACCATTTGGCTCAGGTCTCACTTTGTTAAAGAGCCTCAAAATTCAATGATTGCTGCTGCCTCCAGATGAGATTATACATTCGGTATATATACACATATACATATGGTGTGTGTGTGTATATATGTGTGTATACATATATATGTATATACATACATATATATTTATGTGTGTATATATATACACACACACAGTATATACAAGGTACACTCATCAGATAATTTCATAACTGATATTCCAGAACCAGACCTCCCTGTGAAGACCAATGAATATTTGTAACCTTGTGAAAAGCATAATTATTCTTCACTGTACTTCCTTGTGTGGGTGAAAAGCATGACTGTTAAATTTAGGTATTTTAATGTTTTGAATATAGCAGCCTTAGGAAGGAAGAATGGCCCAGGGAGAGACCTCAGAGAGACCCTTGCAGGCCTTCAAGCTGGCCTAGATCTGAAGGGGGCACTGCAGCCTGAACTGGAAAGATGTCTCCTGAATCCCCAGTTCAACGGCAGCTTGCCAAGGCCCGGCCTAGAGCCCAGCATGGTGACCTCCATACACCACCTACTGACTGGCTAAAGGCAGGCCTGTGGAGCACCTGGGGCAGCTCGCAGTCAAGAATGGAATGGCTTACTCAGGCCTAATCAACCACAACTCCGGAGATCCCACAGCTGTAACCAGCCCCGCCCACAGGATGTCCGAGAAAGCAAATAGGCCTTGAGGACATGCCAATGGGGTGATGGAAACCTGGGCCTCCTAACCTTCTTTGGACCAGCTGCTCTGTTCAGGTGGGTTTCTGTTTTTGCTTTTGTTTGTGAAGTTGTTGCTGTCATTCAAGTCCCTTCTAAAAAGCAGATTCCCTCTTTGCCTGTGGGCCAAGGCCTCTGAGGCATCCCCTGCAAAGTCAGGAGGCTTTCCCTCAGCTAGGTAGGAGTTAGGACAAAAAGCTCTGGAGGAACTCTTTGCTTTAAGGTGCACATTGTCTACCTAGTGAATCTCCTTTTCTGCCTTCAGAGCACTTTTCCAGCACTAACATATGCCCAAGAGGCAAGTGGCCAACTCTATGTTTCCAGCGACCGCTTAACGCTGAGGCCCTCACAGCCAGCAGTAAGCACAGGGTCATTGACTCAAAAATGTAAAGATAATTCTAGGTGCTTGCTTCCATTCCATTCCCCCTGACCATATCTCAATGAATTATTTCACCAACCCACAGAGCAGGCTGGACAGATGAGAGGACCACAGCTCATAGCTGCTGAGAGTAGTGTATTAGAATTTGGCTCTATCTGGAAAAAAAAATAAAATAAAATAAAACACGCCCTTTTCCACCACCTGACGATTCAGCTTCTGGCTGGTAGTGAGTGCCGCTTACAAAGCCCTTTCCCTTTCCTGGGCTTTGGCTCACTAAAGGGTTACACTCCTCCCCTACCATTGAGCTGGAAACTATAACTTCCAGCAGCCAGTGTAGATCAAGAATTCCTTCCCGTATCCCACCTGCTAACTCCACCATCTGCTATTGCCAGGAAGCCCGAGCCGGCGTGTAGAGGAATAATTTTGGCAGTTACTGCATTTCACTTCCTGATTTGGTAAAGCCTGCCATCACCTATATTAAGGCAAACCTATGCCCCCCTCCCTTCGCTAAAATGGGGGGGGGGGGCATTGCAAGGCAGCGAGACCCAGACCTGCAAGGCAGGTGACAGCAAGAAGGAAGGGTATTAGTACTAGGGGGCGTTAGATGATTCCAAATGCATTACCTTTCCTGAAAACAAAAAACGAAGGCTGATTTCAAGTCCCCCCTGCCTCAGGCTTGATCACTACTCACCCGGGCGGCGTCTCCTCTGAGGCCCACCTATCCCAGGTTTCTGAGAAACGACTTAGACTCTCCGCACCACCCGGAGGCACAGCCTCCTTAATTCCTTCCCCAACTCTGGAGCTGTCTGGGTGCTGCAGTGTTTTGCTTTCAAAGGCCACGATCTGATTTGTCAAGCCGCCTGCCGGTCAGAAGCTGGCGGGGACTTCTTGCAGGCGAGTGGCTGCGAGGAGGGAGGTGGGCGGGACAGCCCCCGGCTATTGGCTGCGCCGCAAAGCTTGCTTGAGGCGTAGGGGGAGCGACTTGGGGAGGCGGCCCCTGTCTTGAGCTTTGCTCTCACCTGGAGGGGGCCCCTCTAGCGGCCGCGCCAAGGACGTTGGAACAAACCCCTCTCTCCCTCTCCACCTGTACGGGGTGCTGGGGTGACTGCTCACTTCCCCTGCCCGACAGGTGGGCAGCCTGCCAGGAGCCCGACCTTCCAGTTCTCAGCGCCACCTCCCGGGCTTTGCTCCTGCAGTTCCTCCAACTTAGACTCTCCGCGTGCCTTCAGATCCTTCAGGACCCCCAAGACCCGGCTCCCACAAAGCCGTCTCAGTACTCGGGGCATATACAATGTCCTTGCGGGCGCTCCCCTAACACCTGTTGGCTGCGCTATGTACCAACCCTCCCAGCGCGTCCGCCGCTCCGCAACGCCCAAGGTCCTAGCACTGCGTGAATGCTTCCTAACGTACAACGGATACAGTAAACAATAAGTGTAATCAACACGTGCATGGAGCTTACACCTTTTCGCTTAGACGCATCTCATTTCAGATCCTCACAGGAACCCCCTGAGTGAGATTTTGAGCTCATGCCCATTTTACAGATGAAGAAATGGCGTTCGGGCCCAGACCCCAAGGAGGAGAAAGAGCCAATTTGGGTTCAGATCTGGAGGCAGAGAGAGCTCAGAGGGAACACCAGAGAGCAGAACGAGGTTGGCATTTCGTAGGAACCTCCCAAAGAACAGCGTGGCTGGTGCAAGATTTTTCTGGGGCGTGGGTAGTAGGAGCTGCCATCAGCAGACCTGGCTAGGGACAGAGGTTTGGATTCATCCTAAATTTAAAGGGGGGCATTGCGGGTCCTGCGCCGGGGAGTGACAAGATCACTGTGACTGCTCTGAAGCTTGCAAAGAGGGGCTCGAGGAACACTGTATGTCTGTTCTTGTATCGTTGCCCGTATCAGTCTTTTTTCTTTTACTATTATACACAGGGCTTGGATGAATGTTAGTTGTTTTCTTCTTCCTTTAAAAAAAAATATTTTATTTATTTATTTGAAACGAGAGAGCAGGAGAGTACAAGCAGTGAGAGTGGCAGAAGGAAAGGGAGAAGCAGGCTCCCCACTGAGCAGGGAGCCCGGTGTGAGTCTGGATCCCAGGACTCCGGGACCACGACCTGAGCAGTTCTTAATCAACTGAGCCACCCAGGCGCCCTAGTCGTAGTCTTCTAACTAGGATTTCCGGGTAGGCAAAATTCTAAGGCTCTTGGTCTATAGCAAGATATTTGAGGGGTCATTTAGATAACCCCCTATTAGGTTTCCCCACTAGTTGTGATGTAATTAACCCAAACCCTAAAATTCTAGCGGTTTCCCTAAGGTTTTTTTTTTTTTTTTTGAAACACCTCTAATGATTGGCCAACAACTTTTCACGCTAAAGAAACGGAAGAAACCATTGGCTGATTACTCATGAGGCAACCTAAAGGAGGACTCTAGAATGTTGGGCCCGTGGTTGCCATAGCAACGGGGAGGCTGGGTAGCCCAGATTCAGCCCAGGGAGACCCAAGGAGGTAGGAGGCAGTTCCTGTCTGGGAACCGGTGGGGTGGGAGGGTCGTGGGGAGGAGGATCTGCTAGGTGCGTGTTTGTTGGTGCCCCAGGGTGGGAAGAAGCCACAGCCCCAGGGTGGGAAGAAGCCACAGTCGCAGGTGCTCCTCCCTGATGGTGTGCCCTTCAAGTCCCCGCCCCCCCAAAAGGGGTGCTGATAATCATGGGGTGCCCTCCCCGCACGGGACTCCTGCAAGGGGCGTGGGCCTCTGACTCCCCTCTGCCTCTGTGAGCGTGCAAACGAATGGGGTACTGGGTTAGTGGGTGGACGAAAAAAGAGCTGAGTTCTAATCCCAGGTCCACTCCAGCTCCTTGGGCGTCCCTCAGCAAAATCCTCCCCGCTCTGGGCCTCAGTGTATCCATCCCTAAGATGAAAGGGTAAGATTGGAATTTGGTGGTCACTAGCCGGCTGTAAAGCTCCTTCCTGCTCTTTGAATGCTTTCCTGGTTTCTCATATGAAAAATATGAAGTGGGTTATTTCCCTGGGTACGCTTTGAAAAATGGAAAATACTTTCAAGATGTACCATAGCATCATGTATAACTGAATTGATAAAAATCTCATGTCCTCCAAACTGCTCACGTAAATACCAGAAAATTCCACATAAGGTAAAAAGCATACAGGATTTAGTATGTATTGACATACACTGCACATTAATATGCAGGTATAAGTGTATAAAATACGTGATAATGCTATAACTGAAATGATGTTTTTTTTTAAAGAAACATATAGTAGAGTGGAAACACTTTGTATTTATAGTCCGATGAGTTAAATCCTCACAGAATGTAGCTCCCAAAGGAAAGAATTGTATAAGACTACATCAGCAGGCACTATGGCTAGAACATATGTACCCCTAGTATTCATTCATTACTCAGATATTATTGAGCAACTACTATGTGCCAAGAAACAGACTGGGGATTTAGTGAGGAACATTCTATCCGGAAACCATAAGCAAAGAAGTACATGTAAAATATGGTGTTGGGTAGTGAAAAGTGCATTGAGAAACATAAGGCAGAGTCAGGGGTAGAGAGTGGCGGTGGTGCTCCTTGAGAGAGACTGGTTAAGGAAGACAGTCTCAGGAGACAGTTTGAGGAGAGACCCAGATGAATTTGTGACAGGGGCAAAAGATGATCCCCAGCATAGGGAAGGGAGGAATCTGCATGCTGCAAGGAGGTATTGGAGAAGCTGAAAAGGTCCCGTGGCTTTAGATGGGAGGATATGACAGCTGCCTTCGAAGACTTGAAGAACAGTCATATAGAACAGTGGCTTTCAAACTTTTGGACAGTGACCTATGGTAAGAAATGCATTTTATACTGTGGTCCAGCACATATATACATGACAAACAAAAACTTCACGAAAGACTGCAGGCTGTGACTTGCATTTTGAAAATCACTAATGTGGAAGAGGAGTGAGTTTTACTCTAGGCTGGTTCCCAGCGGCGGTCTTAGGGTGAGTGAAGGGGTGAAAAAATGAATCAGCTTTGATATAAGCAGAAATTTCTAGTAACTGGAACTACCTAACGGTGAACTGCCTCGGGAATTTTCAAAGTAAGTTCTGGGGAAGCCCAGCATTCTGTGAAAATTCGATAGCCTCAAATATTTGCTTTATATTTTGAAAACTGTATGCAATAACCTGTTTTTAAAAAAACAACCATACCCACTCAGGGCTGCCAAATGTCAAAATTCAGGATGTTAACATTCAGCAGATGCTGCCTTAGTGGGTATGATAGTGAAGAGTGAGCGGAAGTCAGACTTCTAGGTTCAAAGCCTGATTCCATCTCTTAATTCTGGTGTGACCTTGAGCAAGTCACCTAACTCCTCTCTCTAAACTTCAGTTTTCTTATCTACCAAATGAGGCTAATACCTCACTGGATTATTGTAAGGACAGCATGCAGAATTCTATACAAGGTGTTGAAGACTGTAAGCATTCAATAAATGATAACTATTATTTTAAGCTGTTACTACATTATTCCTGTGGATGTGTTAAAATCTAATATTCATAAAAGCCTACTGTGGACCAGACAACATCATCTACTTCATCATATGGACCATCATATTTAATCCATAAGCACCTTGAGAAGAAAGTCCTGTCATCATTCTTAGTTGATGGAGGGGGCAGTGGGGTCAAAAGATGAAGGGACTCAGAACCAGGAAGTGGCAGAGCATAACCTTGAACCCAGGGATACTTCTGATTACTGTACGGGTACTCACCTGGGAGTTGCCTGGGCATATGCCATTGATAAGGAAGGTGGTATATCTTCATTACTCTTTTCTGAGATTCTAGGTCCATGACATTCTGTCATGAACAGTGACACAAGGAACTGCAGCGCTAGGGCACATCTGGGCGGCGCTCCGTTCACACCTGGTCTGCACCTGGTCTCATCCTGGCTTCACAGGTATGCATACCAACGCCAGAAAGCATTATCAGTAGTTGCCTTTAAGGGTTAGGATCATGGATTGTTTTAGAAAGTCTTTTTAATTCCCTGTATTTTCCAAAAATTTGATAAGGTGCCCATATCACCATTGTAATAGGAAGCTTAATTTTTTTTCTAATCACTTGTAATTCTAGCATGTGAGTACATTTTAATTTTTTTATCATTTGTTTATTTTTTAATTAACCTTTGCTTGAGTGTAGTGCATAAGCAATGTTACGTTTGTTTCGGGCATACAACACAGCGATTTGCCGAGTTTGAACATTATGCTGTGCTCACCTCAAGGCGAGCAACCAAGTGCATTTATAAAAGAAGAGCTTTAAACAGACACATGAAAAAATGTTCATCATCGTTAGCCAACAGGGAGATTCAAATCAAAACCACATCTAGATACAACCTTACACCAGTTAGAATGGCCAAAATTAACAAGACAGTAAACAATGTGTGTTGGAGAGGATGTGGAGAAAGGAGAACCCTTTTACACTGTTGGAGGGAATGCAAGTTGGTGCAGCCATCTTGGAAAACAGTGTGGGATTCCTTAAGAAATTAAAAATAGAGCTACCCTAGGACCCTGCAATTGTACTACTCGGTATTCACCCCAAAGATTAAAAAAAAAGTGAAAAGAAGGGCCTTCTGTAACCCAATGTTCATAGCAGCAATGGTCACAGTTGCCAAACTGTGGAAAGAGACAAGATGCCCTTCAACAGACGATTGGATGAAGATATGGTCCATATATACAATGGAATATTATGCCTCCATCAGAAAGGATGAATACCCAACTTTTGTATCAACATGGATGGGACTGGAAGAGATTATGCTGAGTGAAATAAGTCAAGCAGAGAAAGTCAATTATCATATGGTTTTACTTACTTATGGAGCATAAGGAATAACAGGAGGACATTAGGAGAAGGAAAGGAAAAGTGAATGGGGGAAATTGGAGGGGGAGATGAACCATTAGAGACTGTGGACTCTTAGAAATAAACTGAGGGTTTGGAGGGCAGAGGAGTGGAGGATTGGGAGAACTGATGGAGGGTATTAAGGACGGCACGTATTGCATGGAGCACTGGGTGTGGTGCATAAACAATGAATCTTGGATCACTGAAAAAATAAAATAAAAATTAAAAAAACAAATAAGATAGCTTTATTGTAGCTAGGAAAGTAGATGGTAGAAGTACTGAGTACCTAGTAGAAGTACTAAGACAAAGACATAGCACTGTAGCGTGGTAAGTGAATGGTAGCTGCTTTTATAGATCCTAAAAGACATTTTTATACTGGAGTGGTCGTGTTGCTGTGAGCATTATTGATTTCTGGTGCTCTGAATCTCTTAGTTTCTTGGAGTGTGTTGCCAATAACTCTCATGAATATTAAAATTTCAGTATAGAGTGTTAAGCAGAGAAGATGGGGAGCATTGCAGCTGTGAGAAAGTCAAGTGAAGAACAAACACTGACGGTGGAAAGGATTGGTAGAGCGTGCCATCATTCTTTCTGTCCTTTCCTTCGTTAGTAAATGGTGTGGACTCTTGAGGAGAAAAAGATGGGCAAAATAGAACTCGTCTGTCCATGAAAGAGGAACAGCTATGGAAACTGAATCCTGCTCCTGCTGTTAACAACTAAAACCCAGACTCCCATGAAGCAACTGGTTTTAGGCATAAGACAGCTCGATTTGGCAATTCCTGAGAAGAAAACCAAGGCGAGCCTTGCAGTTACCCAAGCTTCCTGCTGCGGGCGGTGTCCAGGCCACGGTTCAGGGGTTGGGAGGGTACTGAAGGCAAAGAAACCTAGAAAACTCTTTGGGATGATGGGGTTATGTGTGTCTTAATTGTGATGGCATTTGACACAATTGTACACATTTGCCAAAAATTAAAACTAAGGAATTATATTGTATGTTGGTCAATTATCTTGATAAGAATACATTTATAAAATCCAAGCCTTCAGTAGCTCTGTAAGCAACACCAACAATGAACACTTACATAATTCTCGTTACAGGCAGTGCGATGTGCTTGCGAGTTAGGGTCGTAGAACTAGGTAAATCTCAGCCCCTACGTGCAAGATTGCTCAGTCTGTTCTGCAGATAGAACAGAACCCGATCAATGTAGTTAATGTGAAATGATCCCTACAAATGCTGTGTTTTGCTGTTCCAGGTACTTAGAAGAACATGTAGTAGAGTTTTTCATCAAACAAATGGAACATACCACAGAACTTTGCTAAGATGGACAACTCAGCACGCAAAGACCAACACCCTGACAAAAAATATTCCAGCCATGCCAGCAAATTACAGAAAGGTCTTGTGAATTTATGAACAGATATCTTTGAGGGGAAGAGAGAACTTTTATTTTTTTAAGATTTTATTTATTTGTTTGAGAGGGAGGGAGAGTGAGAGTATGAGGGGGGGGAGGGGCAAAGGAAGAGGGAGAAACAGACTCCCCACTGAGCCGGAAACAGGACTTGGGGCTCTGTCCCAGGACCCTGAGATCATGACCCAAGCCAAAGGCAGACGCTTTGACTGAGCCACCCATGCACCCTGAGAATTCTTGACCTATGTTCTTTTTGGCATATAAGAACACATATGTGGAATTCTAGGTCATACCAACAAGGCCACCCTTAAGACATATCAGATAAATTGCTTTTGGTGGCTCCTCACTGCTTCTAGAGTGAGGACTGGGAAGAAAGTGTGAAAAGAGAATGAGGAGAGAAGGGGGAAGAAGTCTATTCACCACACTTGTTCTTTCTACGTTTCTGGTAAGAATCTCCATCTTCACACTTAGAGGTGTAAAGAGATCTACTTTCTCGATTCCTAAAATTAATGCAAGCCCCCCACACTGTGGATTGGTGGCAAGTTTAACTCCAGCCATTAGGGGCACAAATCCCATGTTCTGCTTGTTTCAAGTTTTGGATCTTTCTCAGTAGAAAGAGGTGATGGGATGCCTGGATGGGGGATGGGAGGAAGCCCTCAGGTCATTGTTTATCCATCCACACAGGTGAGAGTTCCACTGTCCCAGCCCACAGGCTCCCTTTGGTTTTGTTGGTATGTTTCTGGACCACACCTGGTTAGGAATCATTTCTGGGGCTGGAAACCTCATTCCAAGATCCTTACTCCACTGGTTTTTCTTTCTTTTGGGGTCTTTCCTCCTCCCTGGTACGCTTCTAGATTTCCTACTGCTCTCCAACTCAGAGCCAGACCTTACTTTTCCCCCTTCTTTGACTTTGTGCTATCTCTTCTTCTTTAATACTTTTAAAAATTGAAGCATGATATATATTCAGAAAAAGTACACAAATCATAATTATACAGCTTAATAAATATTCATAATGAAAATACAACCAATAGAATAATTCTCTCAGACCAAGAAAATAGAATCGTAGCAGTATCCCAAAGACCCTGTCTTGTTGCTTCCCCTTCTCTGTGAAAGTAAACACTAGAGCTATCCTGACTTCTAATATAGTAATTACTTTAGCCTGTTACTGAACTTTAAGATTTATTTATTTATTTATTTATTTGACAGAGATCATAAGGAGGCAGAGAGGCAGGCAGAGGAAGGGAAGCAGGCTCCCTGCTGAGCAGAGCTGAGAAGAGAGCCTGATTCGGGGCTTGATCCCAGGACTCTGGGATCATGACCTGAGCTGAAGGCAGAGGCTTTAACCCACTGAGCCACCCAGGCGCCCCTGTTATTGAACTTTTAAAAAAAGAGATTGATTTATTTATTTTAGAGAGACAGAGGCAGAACATGCGCATCTGCGCCATGGGAACAGGGGAGAGAGAATCCCAAGTAGACTCCCCTCTGAACACAGAGCCCATGGTGGGGTGGGCTTGATCTCATGACCCTGAGATCCCAATCTGAGTGCAAAGCAAGAGTCAGATGCTTAACCCACTGAGCTACCCAGGTGCCCCACCACTGTTTTTAAATTTCAGATAAATTGGAATCATACAATATGAACTTTTTTCTCTAGCCTTTTTCCACTCATGTTTGAGAGGTTGAACTTCATGTTTCATGTATCAGTTAATGGTTCGTTTTCGTGGCTATAAGTTTGAATACACTGCCAATTATTTATCCATTCTATTATTGAGGACATTTGGGTTGTTTCCAGTTTGGGGCTGCTATGAATAGATGCTTTTCTAACTAGGCTCGTACATGTTTTGGGGACATACATGGAATGTATGTATGTCATCTATGCCTCAGAGTAGAATCGCTGGATCCTACGATGTGTTTATGATCAGCTTGGTGGATACCGCCATTTTTCCTAAGTAGTTTTGCCAATTTTACTTTTTTACAAGCAAGGTATGAGAATTCCAATTGCTCCACATCACCACAGACATCTTTTGCACGTAATGGTTTTAATTTGCATTGCTCTTTGATCAATGAGATCGAGAAATTTTTCATATGCTGGTTGACCTTTAGAATATTCTCTTTGGAGGAATGATTGTTCAAGCTTTTTGTCCCTTTTTTATTGGATTTCTCTTATTTTTACGAGTTCTTTAAACCATTCTAGAAATGAGTCCATTTGTCAGCTACAGGGAGAGTAAATCCCTTCTTGCAATCTGTGATTTTTCCTTTCCACTCTTAATGGTATGCTAATTGACAGAAGGTCTTAAGTTTAATACAGCCCAAATTATCAGTCCTTTCCTTTTTAGTTACTGTGTATGTCTGTCCTATTTGAGAAATCTTCACCTAGCCCCAAATAATTTCTTCTAGAAACTGCATTATTTTACCTTTCATGTCTGGTAACTATTATTTTAAGCTGTTACTACAGCTTAGTAGTAGTAAGGAATCGTTTCTGTGTGTGGGACAAGGTGGATGAGCAATTTTGGTGTTTTCTGTATCTATATCCAGGTGACCCAGCACCATTTATTAAAAGGCCATTCTTTTTCTACTATTCTGCAGAACTGCCTTTGTCATAAATCAAGTGTCTATGTATATGCGGGGTTACTTCTGGATTCTTTATTCAGCTCAAATACTATACTTTTTCTTTTCCAAATACTAAACTGTCTTAATTACTGTAACTTTATAAAAAGTATTGAATCTAGTAGTATAAATATTTCAGCTTTGTACCTTATCTTGGTGATTCTTGGCCCCATTGCATTTCCATATAAATTTTAGAATCAACTCGTTCATGTCCTAAAAATAAAAATCCTTTCTGTTATTTTGGCTTGGATTGCATTGATTCTAGCAATCAATTTAGGGATAATTCACATCTCTACACTATTGGGTTCTCCCTTTCATGAGCATTTATTTTATTCAAGTCTTCTTAAATTTTTCTCAAAAATGTTTCACAGATCTCTCTGTAGAGAACACATATGTCTTCTTTATGTCTGTCTAGGCATTTGATTTTTATGCTATTATAAATGGTGATATTTTAATTTCCTTCTCTAATTGTATCCTGATAGAGAAATAAAACAAATGGACTTCTGTATATTGACCTTGATTCTAGTGACCTTACTAAATTCAGTGATTACCCCTCATAGGTTGTCTATAGATTCTCCTAAAATTTTCCCATGTATAATCTTGTCATCTATGGATAATGACAGCTTTATTTATTCCTTTCTGATCCATACATTTTTATTTATTGCTCTTGATTTTTGTGCTTGCTAGAGCCAGGACAGTATTGAAAAGAAGAGTAACAACAATCTCCTGGTTTGTCTCTCAGGAAAAAGCTTTTAATATTTCACTATTCAGTATCATGTTTACTATAGGCTTTTGTCATTGATAGCGTTTATCAGATGAAGGAAATTTGCTTCTATTCCTAGTTGGTTAGTTTTTTTTTTTTAATAGCAAAAGGACATTAGATTTTATGAAATGCTTTCTGTATCTACTCAACAGATACTTCATCAAAAAAGATATGCAGATTGGAAATAGCAAATGAAGAGATGTTCAGCATCCTTAGCCATTAGGAAAATACACATGGGAACCACAGTGAGATAGTACGACACAGCCCATGGGATGGCTGAAATGAAAAAGACTGCCTGTGTTGACGAAGACGTGGAAGAACAGTAACTCTCGTATACTAATAGTGGAGACGTACAAAGGCACAACTTTGGGAAAGAGTTTTGCAATTTCTTTAAAAGTTAAACATTTGAGGGCACCTGGGTGGCTCAATTGGTTAAGTGTCTGCCTTCTGCTCAGGTCATGATCCTGAGGTCCCCCATGGTCCTACTCAGGGAAGAGCCTGCTTCTCCCTTTGCTGCTCCCCCTACTTGTGCTCTCTCTCCCTGTCTCTCTCTCTCTAATAAATAAATAAAATCTTTAAAAAAAATTAAACATTTGATCCAGCCATCCCACTCCTGAGTATTTACCCAAGAGAAATGAAAACATGTGTCTACTTGGAAGAGTTGTATTGGAATGTAGGTAACAGCTTTTATTTGTCACACCCTCACACTGGCAACAACTCAAATGTCCATCAGCAATGGATTAATATTTCTATATGAGGAAATACCACTCAGCAATAAAATCAATGAAGCGTTAGTACTTCAACAACATGAATGAATGTCAGAATAATTATGCTGAATGAAAGAAGCCAGACAAAAACCATGTACTTTTTTAGTACCTGCTACATGATTCCATTCTGCATCTGCTGAGATGACCATATGTTTTTTCTTTTTTAGTTGGTCTATATGGTGAATGACATTGACTTTCAATCATTAACTTATAACCTATCTTTGCATTGCAGAGATAAACTCCACTTGGCCATGATATATGATGTTTTTTATATATTGTTGGACTTAGTTTACCAAAATTTTCCTAAGAATTTCTGCATGTGTGTTTCTGAGGGAAATTGATCATAGTTGTTCCTCTTACACCCACCATGAATGACTCTGTCTCATTTTGGTGTCAGGGTGATGCTGACCTCCTGAAATGGATGTGGAGATGTCTTATCCTCTTCAGGCTTTTTTTTTTTTTTTTTAAGATTTTATTTATTTACTTGACAGAGAGATCACAAGCAGGCAGAGAGGCAGGCGGAAGAGAGAGGGGGAAGCAGGCTCCCTGCTGAGCAGAGATTCCAATGCGGGGCTCGATCCTGGGACCCTGGGATCATGACCTGAGCCAAAGGCAGAGGCTTTAACCCATTGAGCCACCCAGGTGCCTATTATCCTCTTCAGTCTTATGGGGTAGATTATAAAAAATTGATAGGTAGACTGTGCTATAAATGGCAATTAGGTCAAGTTAGGTAATAGTATTGTTCAAGTCATAGATTTTTTTTTTAATTTTATTTTTAAGTAATCTTTACACTCAACTTAGGGCTCAAACTCATGGCCTTAGGGTCAAGAGTCACACACTCTACCAACTGAACT